GTGGAGGTGGAGGTGGAGGTGGAGGTGGTGGTGGTGATGGTGGTGGTGGTGATGGTGTGTTATCATTAGCAAGTCAAAGTCTTTCAGAGATACAGTCATCTTTCGCAAAGCCACAGGCTGTCCTTTGAGGGTCAGAGAAACTATGCTCCAGAGAGTTTAGGGGACGTGACCAAGGCTGAGCCACAATCAAGGCCAAACCGGTGACAGTGCCCATGGGTTCTGACTCCCCATCCAGTGCTTTAGTGGGGAGTGGGAGGGGGGCACAACACCCTTCCTGGGCACTGAGGTTTCCCAGATCATGTGACTGGCAGAGGGCCATTGTGGGGGTCTGAGGCAGGGTCTCACCTGTCAGGGTCATCAGTGAAGAAGTAGTTGACTTCGCCGAAGGTGCCTACGTCATTATCTGTTGCCTGCAAAGGAGAGAAGTCATGACTGCCAGACCCAGCTGACACCTCTGATCCCACTGGGAAATGCCCACAGCAAACCCATGTTTTTCCCACACCATTCCTTTGACCCAGGTCAAATTTTCTAGAGCTGTGCTGTTCAATATTGTTGCCACTAGCCACAAATGGCTATTTAAACTTACATTGGAGAGTGCAGCTCTAGAGGATCTGTCTTCTACTAATCCTTCTGGACTCACGTCCAGCTAGGCGGTGACCACTGCCAGTCTGCACCACTAATCATGAGGGCATTGATGGTCACTGGTGGAATTCTTGCCTTCCATATGGGATACCTGGGTTCGATTCCTGGCCAATGCATTTTATGTGTGGCCACCACTTGTCTATCAGTGTAGGCTTGTGTGTTGCTATGATGCTGAACAGGGTTCAGCAGAGCTTCCAGACTAAGACAGACTAGGAACAAAGGCCTGGTGATCTACTTCTGAATATCAGCCAATGAAAACCCTATAGATCACAACAGTCTGATTTGCAACCAGTCATGGGAATGGCACAGGACTGGGCAGTGCTTCTTTCCATTGTGCATGAGGTCTCCATGAGTTAGGGGCCAACTTGATGGTAGCTAACACTACCACCACCACTATTCTACCTTTTACATTTTCAAAAAAATCCATGTTTATTATGACCTCAGTTTATCCTCATAACTATACCATGTGATGAGGAAGACAGAGATTTCCACCCGTCTCATAGATCACAAAACTGAGGCCCAGATCCCAGCAAAGCCCAGCATAACCCTGTCTCCACTCTATGTCACATTCGGGTGAGAAGCAGAGTAGAGCAAAATCTGGGCCTCCTCACTCGCAGCCTGGGGTTCCTTCCTTTACGCCACCCAAGTGAGATGCCCTCTCCATCTCCTCCCTTCTCCAAGATGGCTGTAGTTTTGAGTGGGTTTTGACTTTTGTGGCTGGGACCACAAGGCTACTACAGTGTCCCTCACACGGTTATAACTCACAGTACAGGCTAATTAACACCATCCATCCATTCATTCATTCACTCAATAATTATTTATTAAGCACATACTACATTCTACTGTCCTAGATGTGACCTCTGCTCCCTCCCCAGGCCACTGCCTGGAGCTGTGCAAACTGCTGCTGCCACCAGCACCAGGAGAGAAGGGCCTTGGGCTGACCTTCGGGTCCACTTAGATCTGTTTTATGCGCCAGGCTTCTCTATGACATCGTAAATGAGTGAAGTTTCCGCTGCTAAAAATGTATTTTAAAACCTTTGTACTAAATATTTTCTGAGGTTCCTTTTAAAGCTCCTAGATTCTATAAACTCTATTAAATCCTATGTTCATTATAATAAAGCTGCATTTTAATGAAAAAGCTAATTTACATTCAGTGTACTCAGTTCAGGGAGGCAGAAAAGTGAATAATACATTTCTACCCAAATGATTCAATTTAAAAAAAAAAAAAGAAAGTTGATGCCCAATGGGTTAAGATCTTGGTTATCCAGAAAACTTGGCTGTATACAAAGATGCCCTTTCAGTGGGCTCTGAGCGGCCTGGTTTTACAGGACTGCTTCTTGTGTCTGATTTCCACTTTGTCCCACAGCGTACATTCCAGCAGACTGTGTGTGGGCTTCTGTCCTCTCCACCGCCCCCACGAAGCTCGAGTACATCACAGGCTCTCAGTAGATGCATGCTGAGTAAGCAAAAAGTAATATGCTGAGCTACGTAACCTACCGGGACTGGCTCCCAGATGTATTTTCCCACCCTCACCCTGCTCTGAGCCACTCAGGATGACATCAGCAACACACACATTACTCATTTCATCCTCGTAACAGCCCTATGACATAGGTACTATTGTTGTTGTTAGCTGCTGTCGAGTTGGGGCTGGCTACCCCACACACAATGGACCAAAACGCTGCCTGGTTCTGTGCCATCCCCATGATTCTTGGTGGATTGGACTGTTGTGATCCATAAGGTTTTCACTGGCTGCTTTTCAGAAGTAAATCTCCAAGACTTTCTTCCTAGCCTGTCTTAGTTTGAAAGCTCCACTGGAACCTGTTCAGCATCATAGCCATATGAATGCCTCCACGGACAGACAGGTGGTAGCTACACGTGCAGTGCATTGGCCAGGAATCGAACTCAGGACTCCTGCATGGAAGGCAAGAATTCTACTAAGGAACCATGACTGTTCCGTTACTTTTATCATTACCACCTCCAAGTGACAGATGGGGAAACTGAGGCACAGGGAGGGTAAATAATGCATCCAAGTCTTCCCAGTTGGTAAAGGGGCACTGCTGGGATTTGAGCCCAGTGCCGCCTTGCTCCAGAGGCCACACCCCTAGCCTCTATGTGTTATTGCCCTCTATAGAGTCACTATGAGGCAGAATCGACTTGATGCAGCGGGTTTTGTTTTGTTTTTTTTTAGACCAAGAAAAGAACTTGTTCTCAGAAGGAAAGGTGCCTGGTTACTCCGGGGGAGTGGAGACCGCATAGTAGCCCTACTTTTATTCTCCCCTTCTAGGGACTCTTCCCATCCCAAAGTTCCCTTTGGTCCTATTGATACTTGATAATAATCAGATATAGTACTTAGGGAGCCCTGGTGGCGCATTGGTTAAGAGCTACTGTGGCTAACCAAAAGGTTGGCAGTTTGAATCCACCAGCCGCTCCTTGGGAACTCTATGGGGCAGTTCTACTCTGTCTTATAGGGTCACTATGAGTCTGAACCGACTCGACGGCAATGGGTTTGGTTTTTTTGTTTATGGTATGTAGGGTCGCTATGAGTCGAAATCGACTCGATAGCAATGGGTTTGAGTTTGGTTTATGGTATAATTAGAATGTAATAACTGCAGCTTAGGAGTCCTGGTGGTGTAGTGGTTAAACGCTCAGCTGCTAACCAAAAGGGTGGCAGTCTGAACCCACGGACGCTCTGTAGGAGAAAGATGCAGCAGTTTGCTTCTGAAAAGATTTACAGCCTTGGACACCCTGTGGGGCAGTTCTACACTGTCCTATAGGGTCGCGCTGAGTCAGAATCGACTCGATGGCAATGGGTTTGGTTTTTGCTGTTGTTGCTTAACTGCAGCTTGGTCTTGGGGAGAACTGACTGCGTGTTCATTGAGCCCCATGGGGAGAGGTCAGTGTGGTATAAAGACTCCAGATCCAGGCCAAGGCCAACAGCCAAGGGCGCTGTGTGACCACACAGCCTTCCTCACCCCCTACTCCCGGGATTCAGAATCATTTGTCAAGGGAAAGAGTTAGGGAAGCGATGGCCAGGTCTCCTCCCAGCTTATGTCAGAGAGTAAGCTCCAGGAGGCCAGGCCCGCACCCCCCAGCACAGACAGGCCCAGCACATAGTAGGTGCTTCACAAATGCTTGAAAAATGAATGAGCAAACTCCAGTATGAAGGAGGGGGTTGGAGAGAAAAAGGAAAGGGGTGGAGAGATGGGGCTAAGATAGGAAGATAAACTGTACAAAGGGAAAGGGAGGGGAATGGAGCAAAGAAGGGGGAGAGAAAGGGCAAGGAGGAGACAGTGGGCAGCGGGGCTCAGAAGAGGGGAGAAGACAGAGTAGAGAGTGCTGTGCAGTGCCTGCACTGACTGGCCTGGGTCAAACCACCCAGGGGTTCCCTGGGGAAAGGCAGATCTGCCCCCGGGGACAAGCCCTTCATATCTGGGTATCCTACAGAATTGTACTTGGACAGTCATGTCAGGAAGGACTCCTGAAGTCCCCTCATCCAGTCCCCTCCACTCTGGTGCCAGAAGCAGCTGAGACCCAAGGAGATTAAGCAGAGAGCTCTGGGGGACAAGATGGGACTGTCTTCTCTCTCCAGGCAGATGCCTGCCTCCACCTCGCTATGATCTCGCCCTCCTCCCCTCTCGATGGTCCCACAGGAACCTCTTCCCCCAGGGCCTCTCACTGCCCGCCCAGGCCGCAATGCTGACCAGGGAAGATTTGTGAGTCCTTTAGTGCCACCGTCTACTGACCCTATGAAATATGTATGACCGGTGAAGACGAGAGGGAGAGCTTTCATTTCTCAAATGCATGAAGCAGAATAATAAAACGAAAAGCTGCTTCTGTGGCCCGCCGGGGCTGGGGGAAGCCTGCGCGCCGACACAGAGGGGCGGCTCAGGGGTCCTGTGCCTGGGAGAAGGCAGCAAATCTGACCAATCCACAGCCTGGGCCAAGGACCAAGGTGGGGGGGATCGTGCCCTCAGGAGAAAACCCCTCCTCCCTTCCTCGCTTCCCATCCCTGCAGGTCTAGCTTTACTGCCTTTTCCAGCTCTATCCAGATCCTCTGCCCACCTGCTCCCTCCACCTGGGTTGCTCTCCCCACTCCTGCCCTGTAGCCCTGCCTGAGCCCCAAGAGTGGATTAGAGCTCGGCCCTGCACTCAGCTATCCACAGCCCTAATGGCTCAGCACTGAAACTGTCCACTGAGGTGTTTCTGCCCCACTAGGCTGTGGGCTCCCTAAGCACAGGGCAGGGTCATGTGGCTGGTGAGTCCCAGAACCTAGCCCAGGGCCTGGACATAAAGGCAACTTGTGAAAGGCAGTGACCTCTCGATCTTAAGTCTCTTTTGTCTGTAGCTACATCGCATCCACATCTACACAACCCGTATTAAGGTATTGCTTTAATTCCGACCACACCCCTGTGAGGCAGCTACTGTTATTAGCCCCACCTCACTCCCACCCCAACTTACAAACAAGGTAACAGAGACACAGAAATGTTAAGTAATTTGCCTTCCATCACACAGCTGGTAAGTGGCAGAGCTGGGTTTCAAATCTCCGTGTTTTAAACCACTTAGTGCCCTTGTGGGACACACAGGCCCCAAGGCAGGCCTGCGCCACTGAGGCCTGGAGCCTGAATGCCTGGCTACTGGCTCCCTGGAGGGCTCAGCCAGGGCTGCTCCACTGCCCACCCCGCCTCTCTCTTCGTCCATCCAGGCAGGAGCAGGTGCCAGGTAAGACCCCAGCCTCACTCTGCTTATGGACAGCACTTTTTAAAAAACC